AGATACTTGCTGTATTAGAAATGTTTAGTGGAGACAGGATGTCTAGGTAGGCTGTTAAATGCTTAGTCATTCTCATGAGTTTTTTGCAGGGTTCATATGGTCAAGGATAACTAGATAGAAAAGTTTGACTGTCAGCAGACAGGATGATTATTGTTATTAATATGATATGTTTAGCCGTAATCTTAATCATATCGTCCTAGGCTTAATGTCCGGACATGTCCCTGAATGTCCTGTATGTTCTTAGATACACACCACTTAATCAACATTCACACACATTGATTTTCTCCATGTTTTGACTACTGCTACGGTCAGCTGTAAAGCTGGCATATCAGGTGACGTCACGGTTTGACGTGCCGGCGTAGAATGGGGTTAGCCCAAACCAGATATAATGTACAGGCCTGTTGGGTTCGGCGTCTTTCATTCTTCATCTGCCTGCGCGCAGTATTGGAGGGGGAAGACGCCTGGACGTGTAATGTTAATTTTACCTGTGATCCTTTGAATAAACCAGCACAGTTTTTTGTATCCACTTGGACTGCCTCATCTCTCAGAGTTCCTGGTTAAGGGAACTGGGAAAAATAGCTTTCACCGTCTACATGAATGCCACAAAATACAAATGAAATACAAAGTAGATAAAGAAATACCACAAAATCTAAAGCACTTTAAGCAGCAGAGATGCAGCAATATAGTAGAATTGCTTTTATTATTGCTTTTATTTTGAACTTCTACATGAATCAGCTACTCTTGGCACTTGTGTATTTTCTTGCACATCGTGGTTCTACTGCAGGTTTGGCATTAGCAATTGTATGCAGAAAATAAACAACCTTCCTGCTCTTATTACAGTAATATTTTGTGATGCCTGTTTGTAATGTTCATGCTTTGTTGTCTGAATAAATTCACTGCTTTGTATAGTGCTGCTGCTTAACATAAAATATTTGGACATTTCTTAAGATGCCATTTTATAAGGTAACAGTTGGGGTTTGTGATGTTATTGAAGAAAACTAGATCAGCCGAAAGGCTGACTATTAAGGAGAACAAACTTATGACCTGTTAAACAGGACATTTGTTTTCATCTCCAGGCCACTGTACACTCAAGTTTGA